TAAATGAGTGGAACTTACCCTTTCCGATAATGTAATAGTAATTTAATAATTATCATTATAAAGAAACATAAATCTTATATGTTTTTGAGTCTTGAATAACCATATTCATGATAAAGAGTGAGTTAAGAATATTTGAATCCATAGACATCAAAATTCCATTTCATTTGTTAAGTCATATTCTTCCAAAAAATGAACCGGAAAATCTTCGCCATTTGGGATGGATAGATAAAATCATAACATTTATATAAAAACTTTACATATAAAAAAAAATAATAATGTTTAAAATAATGATATTTATTCATCTTTTTTTAAAGTTTGTACTGCTGGATATTGAGGTTGAAATATTTGCGTTGGTATATAATTTACATTTACAAAGTGTAGACTTGGTACCATTAATTTTTTTTATTGGTTTAAAATATATCAAATTGGGGCCAAAGAAGGGTTAAATCATCTTCATCTGAAGAAGTAAGTACAATAGACATAATATTCTTAAAATAAATTATAAGATTAATAATATCATTGTTAACATTTACTTTGAATTTTGATTGATTATTAATTTCGAAAAAAAATTTAACAACGAGAATTTAAAATAAAAATGAAGGAAGTGGTTGATATGAATTAAAACTCAGCTTAAATTAATATTAAGAATTAAAAAATAAATAAAATTAATTTTATAATACAATAAAATATATTTTTCTTTTTGTTGATATTTTTAAAAAAAATATATAAAGTAACGAGTAAAGTTTTACGTTACCATTACTCAAAAAAAAAGAAACGCGTTACCGTTACTCGTTATCTCAAGAAGATGGCAACAAATGGCGTTCCTTTACTTCAAAAAAGATAAATCTTACTAAGTATTTAAATCTTGATATAAAAAAATTAAATAATTAGCTAAATTTTAATTGGAGGATATTAATATATCTAAAGGCCTATTAATTCAGAATTTAAATCTCGATGAAAGATTAATTTTAGTAGATAATCCTCCAAGGCAATGGAAGCATTGCATACTTTAAAAAATATTTTGGAATTTCTAAATGTATGAAAATTACTGTACATTTTGGCAACAATATCAATTTTTTAAAATATTTTTCTATCTTTATTTATTTTATCTAAAAATTCTATCAGAAAAGCACAAATTAAAGGACCTTTTCTTTATTAGGGAGAATAAAAATCTATCTCATAAGTACGACATCTTAAAATAAATTGAATTGAATCGACTAGCTTTATATTTAATATACATCAAGAATTTAATGAAAGTGGTGCAATCGCATAAAAGATAAATTCATTTATGGATGTTTAAAATCATCATATAATTTTTACTATATTTTGATACCGGTTATAGCTATATTTTTTGACAATGTTATATCGCTCATAAATATTTTGTATTTTCCAATATTTTATTATTTGTGATCCAAATTATCATTTTTAATATAATTGGCTATAATAAATTTTATATTAATTAGTTCAAATAACTTTTAGTGTTCCAAAAAATTTATTTCAATATAAAAACCCCACAAAATTATTATAAAATTTTTACTTGTTTGATAATCAAACCGAGGTCTTCATCAGATTGCCGGCGAACTCTACAGTGTTATCAATGTAATTTCAAACGGATATCTGCCCTTGCAGGAGCTCACAGAACTTGTAATTCAGCGCTTGGTAACTTCTATAATATTGGAAACAATAGATCGTCGAAATAGAAAATTTAAGAGATTACTTCAACCGTGAATGCCAGAAAAATTAATGGATAAATCCGTAATGCAGATTTCATGATAATCCTCAATCCAGAGATTATTTCCTTCCCACATTTGATAATATGACTGCCAGGATAGAATGTTGAAAATTTACGGTGACTGATCTCAGGGATGTTTATTTTCAGATTCATTCGGTTTAATAAATAATAAATTATCACTATATATGAGTGAATTTTCAATATTTGAGAATGTCATTTATCCATCATGTGCCCCCAATCCTTCAGAGATATATGGAGGATTTTTTAAGGAGTTAGTTAATATATATTGGGATTTACCCAAAATAAAGGAATTATTATTCAACTGAGGGAAATCAAGTTCCTACAAAATTCGGTCCATTTATCTGAAATCCACAGAACTCATAAAAAAAATACATTTATCCTATGATCGTTTCTAAGGCTAGTAAATTATCAATTTAGGCCATAACTACGTATGATAACCCTACCCTGGTATCAGTCAACGAGTCGTAAATTGGCATAGAAATATTGGTCACCCGGAGAAGATATAGAATTTATAAAAGTAAAAACTGCTTTCAGGTAGGACTCCCATATTCGACTGGTTGATAGTAATTTTTGAAAGCAACACATCGATATCGGATTTGAAACTGTTCTTTTGTTATAGCTATAAAACAATAGCAGCGATTGCCTTTGGATAGAAACATCAGCGTTTGAAAAAATTACTGATCCATTTACAAGAAAGTTCACGTCCTGCTCTTCGGTATCGTAAAAATTAACCAATTATATGCAAAATTTTGTGTCTAAAAGAAAACGAATCACAAATAATAAGATTGCAGTAAATGACAAAAGTGAAACCTTAAAGGGAGTTTATGATTTTAAAATTTGATACAGGCAAATCGGATAAGTTGGCGGATTTTCTATCGCGTTTACCAAAAATGTCCAAGATCTCAATAAATAGGTTGAATAATTGAGGGTTATCTCTTTTATACTTCTGGGAAACATCAATAAGATCTGATATAGGTTAAAACACGAGATACGAATAGATTCAATACTAAATAATTTTTTAAAACCTTATTGATGGGCTCTAAAAAGAATTTGTATCATTTGGTATCTTATTTTAGGCCACAGAAAAGAACCAAATTGAATTTCAGAGTAATTTAAAATTTTATATGCCACCTGAAAATAAAAGGACTGGTAGAACGTAATGCATTGTTTTACTAAATATTAATTATTTTATATCATATAAATGAAAATGAAATAAAATTTATTGATAACAAATGATTTATTAATATTATAAATAGCAACCACCCTACCAAATGCTTGCGTAGTCGATTTCCTAAAACGTTTTTCAAAGTTTTTGCGAGGCAAGTTTTTCGTAAAATTTTACTTCCAAAACGACTTTTACAGCTGGTTTTTATAATACAAAATATTTTTATAAATAATATAACAAAATAGTACGTCCACAGAAAATACCAATGTTGGGTCATTCCATGTCAAATGAGCCAGAAAATCAAGATTTTCGGCCGACCCCTTTCAATTTCGATAATAAGTTGTAGACTGGTTATATATGTTCACATTAGATCATAAACAAAATTTTAGCCATTAGCATATATATTAGCGGAGATAATCGGGGTTAAAGGTCCAAAAAATGTCTTTTTGCTTTTTACTGATGTTAAATAATTAGTTTTTAATTTAAAACTAAATATGATCAAATATTGAATCTAATATCAATAGCTAAGTCAATAATTGATAATTATGGCGAAACATCAAAATTAATTTTTATTAAATATGGGTCATCTTATGGTCAGTAGAAAATTTGAAATTAATATTTGGAAATAAATATGATCTCCAATTTTTAATTTTTTCAAGAAATATTATTTGTTTACTATTTTTTTAAATAATATCTTCTACTATTAGAATGGCTGGATATTTATTTTAAAAATATGCGATTTTATTCTCTTAAAAAATAGATGGCGCTATATATAATAGATTTAATATGATAAAATTCATTTTTATATTGCTTAAAAATATTCTCAAGTAAAATATATCATAAAATTCGGTTATATAACTTTATAAACCTCATTCCCCTGATATTCGCAGGATTTAATAATTTTTTTAATATTTAAATGTAAATTAAAAATAATTAAAAAATCCGATAGCTCACGAATAAAAAAGAAGGATCTAAGGAGTGTAGGAAAATTATTAAGGGAAAAATCGAAAATCACATTAATAACCAGGTCTAATATTCTTTTATGGTTATTATCTTAAATTATTTTAAAAAACCAGAAATAAACAAAATTGTAGTTTTTTTCGCAGATCAAAAATTTTTTGCTAAAAATTTATAATTTCAACTTGAAAAGTTTTTTAAGCAATATAAATAACAAAAAATTAACTTTATAAAATTTTGGGTATCAAATGAATTAGAGCATTCTCTATAAAATCTTTTTAAAAAAAATTTCTATGATCAAAGTCTTTGAATTTTGAGCAAATGCTTAACACTAAAATGTTTTTATCTTTTAATATAAAAAATAAACTAATTATTAAAATTAATAAGCGAAATAAATCATGAAAACACTAACAATAAATCGCAGTTGCTAAAAATACAAATTGATTTCTTTAATATTTTTTCACAAATTGTAAAAATAATACTTGATTCATTTCTTTAACATTTTTCTAATTTAAAAAAAAACTAATTTTTTATATTTTTACTGTTGTGATAATTAGAAGCGCATTATTTTTGTTGCATTTAATTAAATAGTTTTGTTTATATAAATTTGAATATTTAAGAAAAATAGTTTTTTTTATATATTAAATTGAATTTTAAAGTTCATGTAAAATTTGTGTATACGATAGTGTTGTGTAATCGGCTAATTTTAGCCGACTATAAAACGGCTTAGCCGAGATTTCAGGTGAATAAATCGGCTAAGCCTAAAATTGGCCCTAAAAATTGGCTAAAATAAATTAGTCAAAAATTCTGCATAGATGCCTAGCATTAATTATTATTTATTTATTTTAGTAAAATAATTTATTTTATTTATATTTAATGTAAATATTTTATTATTATCAACAAATAAACATGATATGATTTAATATTTTTTATTATAATCTTCTACATGAGCATAATGAAATAAATATGAATATAATGGAGAGAAAAACAAAATGCGAAAAAGAAATAGATATAATAAAGAAAAGAGCTAAAAATTTTCTAATTGAAAAATTTAAAATTCATATGCTCCATAAAGTTTCAACATTTTTATTACCAAAGTTCCGACAAATGAATATGTTGTCGTCGGAAGAAATTAATGAAGTAAAAAAAACATATGGAAAACTTGTTAGATTTGATTTGCATAGAAGAATGTAACATCGACGTAGATGAAAATTTGATTTTACCCATTTCCCCAAAAGCAAAGAAAATCCAATTAAAAGGTATTAATAAATTATAAATTCGTTTAGCTACTTATTAAATGTAATATTTGAAATAAATAGCATCCACATCAAAATTAAACCCCAACAGATTGGGGGATGAGGTTGTTACTGAGGATAGTACCGTACATAATGACATAACAAAATATTTAAATCTTAAAGTAACCATTTTTGATAAATATAATTTAGCATAATTTTAAGATGCATATAATATAATTAATATAAATTTAAATTACTTTTATAAATTTATTAATATTGGTTCACTTTTATTTAAAGATTTCAATTGAGGAAGAGGATATACTTCAAAAGGATGTCCTACTTTGGTGGAAACGACAAGAAAAAAATTTGCCAAAGCTTTCAAGATTAGCAAGAAAAATATTAGCAATTCCTGCAACTAGTGCTACTTCTGAAAGAGGATTTAGCATAGCCGGAAGGTTTTTATAACAAAGAAGAACGTGTTTTTGAATCCCGAAAATGTGGATTCATATTATTTTTGCATTATAATTACTTATAATATTTATTTTATATTTAGATTTTATAAATATTTTATTTGATAAAATAAATTATCCATAATTTAAATTGAATATTTTTTAAGCTTAATATAGTAATTTCCTAAATTATAAAACTTATAGAGATGTAATGTTGAAACTATTTTCATTAGATGCTTAAAATAACGGGCTTGGTTAAATTTTTTTTATAAATAATGGGCGGGCGGGTAAAAAATTTCTGACTAATGGGCGGGCGGGCAAGAAATTTTAAACTAATGGGCGGCGGGCGGATAAAAATTTTTAGATTAATGTAGGGCAGGCGGGTATATTTTTTTGAAAACTATGGGCGGGCGGGGTAAAAAATTTTTTAAACATTGAGTGGGCGGACATATTATCCAAAAACCCGAATGCAGACCTCTAGGTACATCTTCACTTTTTATCTAAACATATTATTATTACTTATTTTAATCTATTTTCGTCAAAAAAAATCAAAAAACTTAAAAAATAACGATTATGACAATTGTCACATTAAAATATTATCCTTAAAAAGATCATATAAAAGTTGATGTTATCGGCTCGACTTCAGCGATGGTTATTGTTAGTAAGAAGTTTTGATTCGGATTTAAAATATCGAAGGGGAAAAGAGAACCAGTTATCTGATATTTTGTTGAGGTTAGGTGCGGGCGAAAGTTTGGATGAATCAGTGATTTTGAAAATTGATAATCGGGAAGAATGTCTTGTACGTACGGTAATGAGAAGTATAAAGGGTAGCCCAACGACGTGGGAAGATATACAAAGGTTTACAAGGAAAGATAGAGAATTAGCGGTAGTTAAATTATGTCTAATGGGAAAAAGATCATGGAAAGATGATGATAAAGTTTTCAAAAATATTAAACAGAATTAACTATAGTGGACGATTGTATTATGAGGGGACCCCGAGCTGTTATACCCCGGAAATTGAGGGAGAAAATTTTGAATGTTATACAGTTACTCGTATGAAACAATGGGGAAGAGAGTACGCATGGTGGCCGAAAATGAACGAGGATATTGATAAATTGGGAAAAGAATGTGAGATTTGTAATGCATAGTCTGACATGCCCCGTAAGGATAAAAATAGTACAAGGCCAAAAGTTGTAGAACCAGGAGAGAGGGTTCATGTTGATTTTTTCGAATATGAAGGAAAAAAGTATATATTAAGTTTAGATGCGTTCTTCAAATGGGTAGAATTTGAAGAAATTCATGGGTTAACGGCTAATATTGTGATTAAACATTTTAAAAAAGTATGGTCGTAGTTTGGTATTCCGAAAACTGTGGTATCGGATGGTGGACCAGCTTTTATCGGTGAAGAATTCAAGAGATTCTGTGAAAAAACGGGTGTATATCATGTGTTAACGCCACCGCTATCATCCCAGTTCCAATGGACAGGCGGAGCGGATGGTAGCGACGGTTAAAGGATGGTTGAAGAAAACCAAAAGTGGAAAAGAAGAAATGTGGGTGAAGCATTTGTATTATAATAATGCGATGGGTAATGATGGTTTGTCTCCGGCAGAAAAAATGATAGGCCGGAAGGTAAGAATGTTTTTGGATATGTTAGTATCTTGTAAAACGAATGTAATTGTGGAGGATATTGATAGAAGGGAATTGGAATATACTGTAGGACAGTTAGTATGGATTAGATTATATGGAAGTACTAAAAAATGGGAGAAAGGTGTAGTAATAGAAAATTTGGGAAACAAATTAAATAGGGTAAAATTTGATGATAATAGTGAAGGTGTCAGGCACAGGGATCAGTTGCGGAAGAGAGTGCATAGAAATGGTTGAAAGAGGAAATTGTAAAAAAAGAAAATATTTAAGGATAGTTCCTGGTTAATAAAGATGCAGATTTCAATGGTTTCAATGGTGTAAATAATCGTCTAATCAAGAAGCAACCACTACCCACGTACATCATATGTCCAACGTAAAACAGGAACGACACTATGTTAGGAGGACAACAAGTTATGACGGATACTACGAAAATCGCCTAAAAGAAAGGAGGATGGCAACGTTAGAATCGACTTTCTTAAACAATACTGGGATGATTATCAAGATCTGATTGAGGGTATGAAGTGATAAAGAAGAAATACAGACATAAAAATATTGTTTAAACAAAAAATATGGGAATCATTTATTGAATTCTTATACGCTGATTGATTTTTTTTGCATAGTGATATAACAAATATATATATAATTTTGCCCAGGATTTTTGTTAAGGGGGCGTGTTGTAGTATTCTGTGTATTTAAATTATTATTACAAAAATGTCAAGGATATCTTGTATTTTTATATGAAAAAGAGATAATGTGAAGGTTGTAATTTATTTTATTTGAAGAAGAAAAAAATGTTTTTTAGTTAATTTTTTTTTCGCGTAAAAAAGAGAATTTTTTTTATAAGAGGAATTTTTTTTATATAAAATAATTTTGGTTATAAAGAGTACATTATAGAAATAAAATTATAAGTATTTTATCGTTTAATTAACCCAATCTACAAGAAGTTATAAGAAGTTACAAAATAAACATGTTATCAATACTTATTTTAACATATTTTCGTCAAAAAAAATTAAAAAAACTTTAAAAATAACGATTATGACAATGGTCACTTTTCTACGGTACATCTTCACTAAATTTAATTTAAACATGTTATCAATACTTATTTAAACATATTTTCGTCAAAAAAATTCAAAAAACTTTAAAAATAACTATTATGACAATTGTCACTTTCTATGGTACATCTTCAAACTTTAAAAATAACGATTATGACAATTGTCACTTTTCTACGGTACATCTTCACTAAATTTTATTTAAATATGTTATCAATACTTATTTTAACATATATTCGTCAAAAAAATTCAAAAAACTTTAAAAATAACGATTATGACAATTCTCACAATTAAAAAATATTATCCTTAAAAAGGTCATATAAAATAACATCAAAAAAGTTTAATATAAATATTTTTAAAAAATTATTTTAAAATATCATTTAATAAAAAAATAAATTATTTTACAAAATTGATAAAACAAAATTATAAAAGATTTCACCTAAAAGATGTTTTTTTTATCTAATAAAATATACAATTTAATTCATCAATTAAAGATGTATTTACAAAGAAAATTGTGAAAATTACTAATATATTATATTAAAAAAAATATTATATTTTTACAATAGCAGCATATTATTTTTTTTATTAAAAAAACATCAAATAAATAAATTTATTTTCATTTCAAAATAAAACAATATAAATAAAAAATATTAAATCATATCATGTTTATTTGTTGATAATAATAAAATATTTACATTAAATATAAATAAAATAAATTATTTTACTAAAATAAATAAATAATAATTAATGCTAGGCATCTATGCAGAATTTTTGACTAATTTATTTTAGCCAATTTTTAGGGCCAATTTTAGGCTTAGCCGATTTATTCACCTGAAATCTCGGCTAAGCCGTTTTATAGTCGGCTAAAATTAGCCGATTACACAACACTATCGTATACACAAATTTTACATGAACTTTAAAATTCAATTTAATATATAAAAAAAACTATTTTTCTTAAATATTCAAATTTATATAAACAAAACTATTTAATTAAATGCAACAAAAATAATGCGCTTCTAATTATCACAACAGTAAAAATATAAAAAATTAGTTTTTTTTTAAATTAGAAAAATGTTAAAGAAATGAATCAAGTATTATTTTTACAATTTGTGAAAAAATATTAAAGAAATCAATTTGTATTTTTAGCAACTGCGATTTATTGTTAGTGTTTTCATGATTTATTTCGCTTATTAATTTTAATAATTAGTTTATTTTTTATATTAAAAGATAAAAACATTTTAGTGTTAAGCATTTGCTCAAAATTCAAAGACTTTGATCATAGAAATTTTTTTTAAAAAGATTTTATAGAGAATGCTCTAATTCATTTGATACCCAAAATTTTATAAAGTTAATTTTTTGTTATTTATATTGCTTAAAAAACTTTTCAAGTTGAAATTATAAATTTTTAGCAAAAAATTTTTGATCTGCGAAAAAAACTACAATTTTGTTTATTTCTGGTTTTTTAAAATAATTTAAGATAATAACCATAAAAGAATATTAGACCTGGTTATTAATGTGATTTTCGATTTTTCCCTTAATAATTTTCCTACACTCCTTAGATCCTTCTTTTTTATTCGTGAGCTATCGGATTTTTTAATTATTTTTAATTTACATTTAAATATTAAAAAAATTATTAAATCCTGCGAATATCAGGGGAATGAGGTTTATAAAGTTATATAACCGAATTTTATGATATATTTTACTTGAGAATATTTTTAAGCAATATAAAAATGAATTTTATCATATTAAATCTATTATATATAGCGCCATCTATTTTTTAAGAGAATAAAATCGCATATTTTTAAAATAAATATCCAGCCATTCTAATAGTAGAAGATATTATTTAAAAAAATAGTAAACAAATAATATTTCTTGAAAAAATTAAAAATTGGAGATCATATTTATTTCCAAATATTAATTTCAAATTTTCTACTGACCATAAGATGACCCATATTTAATAAAAATTAATTTTGATGTTTCGCCATAATTATCAATTATTGACTTAGCTATTGATATTAGATTCAATATTTGATCATATTTAGTTTTAAATTAAAAACTAATTATTTAACATCAGTAAAAAGCAAAAAGACATTTTTTGGACCTTTAACCCCGATTATCTCCGCTAATATATATGCTAATGGCTAAAATTTTGTTTATGATCTAATGTGAACATATATAACCAGTCTACAACTTATTATCGAAATTGAAAGGGGTCGGCCGAAAATCTTGATTTTCTGGCTCATTTGACATGGAATGACCCAACATTGGTATTTTCTGTGGACGTACTATTTTGTTATATTATTTATAAAAATATTTTGTATTATAAAA